AGTTGTTCAGTTCATTTTCAACATAGTGTCTAGTGAGTACTCTGCTGCATTTATTTACCCCTTATCCCTCCATTTCTGTGCCTCCCCTTACCTTCCCAAAGACTGATAAACAAAGCAAAGAGAAACCAACAAAAACCTCTCATATTCCCATTTCCTAGAGTTCATTTTGATAGACATTATTGGGTATGATTAGATGCATATAGGCATTATGGCTTTGTGTTCCTCTCCTGAAACTTTTCCCTTTTATGTAACCCTGGCACTTTTGTGAAAAATAAGTTGGCTATTATGGATTGATTTTTGTGTACTCTATTCTTTTGCATTAGTTTACATGTCTGTTTTTATGCAAAATACTTTAGCATTAAAGTGCCAAATACTTTAATGTCACTTTGGTTACTACAGTTGTGTCGTATATTTAAACTGAGTATAATATCTCCAGTTTTGTTATTTTTGTTCAAGATTGCTTTGGCTATTCAGGATCTTTTGTGGCTCCAATGGGCAAAAGACCTGAATAAACATTTCTACAGAGAAATCACACAAATGGCCAACATGAATATGAAAAAAGCTGAACTTCATTACCAGGAAAATGGGAGTCAAAACCAGAAAATATACCTCATCCTAGTTAGAATGGCTTTTAACCCCCCCTCCCAAAAAAAAAGAAAAGGAAAGGAAAAGAATAATTAGATACACTGTTGGTGGGAATGCAAATTGGTACATCTATTATGGAAAACATTATGGAAGTTCCTCAAAAATCTAAAAATAGAACTACCATATGATTCAGCAATCCAACTACAGAGTATATATATAAAAGAAATGGAATGTTGCTGGGCACCAATTGCTCATGTCTGTAATGCTAGCTACTCAGGAGGCTGATATTTGAGAATTGTGGTTCAAAGCTAGCCCAGTCAGTAAAGTCCGTAAAACTCTTATCTCCAATAAACTGCTCAGAAAAAGCCAGAAGTGGCACTGTGGCTCAAGTGGTAGTGAAGTAAGGAGGCCAGGTCTGCCCGGCGCCATACTGGCCACATGGTGGATGGTAGGGTCTGGCATCTTGTCTTCATGCTGGGGGAAGGGACCCCCCCATCACCTGCCTCTCAGGTGTGCCTGGACCCCAGGAGGCAGGGGCAGGCACTTGGCTGACAGGTTACTGAATCTGTCAGTCCCAGTGACTGGGACAGGGAATTTCCTGAGGATCTGCCCCCTGTGCCAACCTATTTAGGCCAGGACCAGCCTAGCCACCTGACTCTATGGCATGTGTGTCTCCGTGATTGTGTCCTATGTCCTGTCTCCTGGCTTGTCTCCAGTCATCATGGAGTCCCAATTCAACTCTCATTAGATCTGAGTTGGCTTGTTGGTATTGTTCTTGTTATTTCTTTCCTCTTCAGCATGTTCCCTAGCTGTGTTATATGTATTTGCGTGCTACAGGCCTTTGTAACAACTAGTGGCCTCCAGCCTGTTAATTGTATAATAAAGACACCAATATTCTATCTTTATTTATTTTTTTGGGGGGGGTCCGGTCGTGGGGCCTGAACTCTGGGCCTGGGCACTGTCCCTCAGCTCTTCAGCTCAAGGCTAGTGCTCTACCACTTGAGCCACAGAGCCACTTCCAGCTTTTTTCTTTTTGCTTATGTGGTGCTGAGGAATCGAACCCAGGGCCTCATGCATGCAAGGCAAGCGCTCTACCACTGAGCCACCTTCCCAGCCCTATTCTATATTTTTAAAGGTGGCTTCTGGGATGATTTACCTTACAACAGTAGAGCGCTAGCATTGAGCACATAGAGGCTCAGAACCAGAGCCCAGTCCCTGAGTTCAAGCCCAGGACCAGCAATTTAAAAAAGAAAAAAAAAGAATAGAATGTCAAAGAACCTTTTATGTTTACTGAAACACTCACTATTTGTAATAACCAAGATAGCAAATAAACTTGAATGCCTACCAGTGGATAATGGATAAAAATAAAGTACATATATGCAGTGATTATTTATTATTCAATGCTTAAATGATGAAATTCTGTCATTTGTGACAACATAGACCAACCTAGAGAATATTAAGTGAAAGAAGCCAGACAAAGGAAAACAACTGCCACATGATCTCACTCATACACGGAATCTAAAAAGTAGATCTGGTCAAAGTTGAGAACCAAGCAGTGCTCTTCAGAGGCTGAGGAAAACAGAAAGGAGAGGAAATGGATGAAGTTCAGTCAAGGGATACAATGCTAGTAGAAATGAATTCTAGAAGTCCTATACAAGAAAGAGACTAAGTTAACAATTATTCAGAATGAGAATAGTGAAGTTAAAATAGTGCTGGGTTTGAGTTTTGTAGTAGAATATATCCTTGTGGAATTTGGAAGTAATTATGGAAAATAAACAGCAAAAAAACAAAATATCCCAACTGGCTTTCTGTCAGGATACATACACTTAATTCTTCCTTTTTTATTAGTTTTATTATATAAATCTAACATTTTATTTAGTTTTTCTATCATTATGGCTATTTTGTGTTGCTTTGGTTGTTTTTAACCTTGAAAAGAACAGCAAGAACTATCCTAGTATATTGTAGTATATTCTAGTATCTTTGTGAAAATCTTTAATTTATGTAGTTTAGCTGAAAATCAAAGAATAGAATTCCTGGATTAAAGATTTATGAAATAGGGCCAGGAATGTGGTTTAGTGGTAAAGTGCTTGCCTAGCATGCATAAAACCCTGGGTTTGATTCCTTAGTACCACATAAACAGAAAAAGCTGGAAGTGGCGCTGTGGCTCTAATGGTAGATTCCTAGCCTTGAGAAAAAAAAGAAGCTCAGGGACAGTGCTCAGGCCTTGAGTGCAAGCCCCAGGACAGGGGAAAAAAATATGAGATATTATACTTATCATTTAAAAGATTATTTTTTACTAAATTGTTCTATATAAGAAAAAAATCAGAATATCTGCTTCTAGAAAAGTGTGGAAATGTCAGTTTTCCCATATTTCAATAAATGTCCTTAAGTTTCAACAAACGTGTAGCTGACTCAATAAGGAACAGGTGTTTCATTTGCATTTCTTTAAAGTTGAGCATTTTTTCACATTTTAGTCTGTAATTTGGGTCATTTGTGTGTGTGGTTTTTTTTCTGTGAACAATTCTGTTCATGTTTGGCACATTTTTCCACTGTTATTTTATTAATGATTTTTAAAGAATTTTTAAACTACAAAATAGTAAGGTTTATGATTTCTCTTTTTTAACATTGTTTAACATTGCTATGGAATTAACAATGAAATCTTTTTCTTTTGTAGAGAAAGTAAATTGGAGGTCTGAAAAGTCTTTTAGAAAGGTTGGAAGGCATTGTGGGCTCTCTGGCTCACCTCCGGAAAGGGCCTCCTCCACATTGGGGCCCCTCACAGGGGGGCCTCCAGCTGGGGTGTCATATTTCTACACTCTAAGAAAGAGGCTTCCTGGAAGATGTATATTTAGAGCATGACGCGCCAGAGGGGCACAGGTGGGTGTCTGGGGGCTAACTTCTGGTATTTCATTCCTGATTCTGTGATCATACTGACAGGTTTATGTGGGTGGAAGGTGGGGAGGGGAAAGGCCTCTTTTCTTGGTGACTATTTGGGATCCTGTACTTTCAACTTCCGTGGGGGGGGGAACAGAGAAACAGAGAGAGATGATGGGAGTTTTACAGAATTTCAGTCATGCACAGACCCTTATCCTCATTGCCCCTGGAAAATGCTGAACACTCTCTACTGCTATGGTGACAGATGAATGGCAGATACCACCAGTGGCATGATGGAATGAAATGTCCACCTGTTATGTCTTTTTTTCATCCATAGGACAGCAGTTGGTCCTTTTATGGGTGTGTTGAGACTGATTTGATTACATGCCAATGTAATATCTAAATAAAGAAGCCCATGCATGGAAAATGTGTTCATCTTTGAAGTCATTAAAGTCATTGGGTTCCTCAAGAGTTTGGGTGGCTTAATGCCATCATCCTAGGTCATCTCTGAAGTTCTGTGACATCTGACAGGAGACAGTAAATTCTGCTAGTAGTGTAGAGTTATAAATTTTGTAAAATTACCAAGTTTAGAAATCTAAATGTCTTTCCAAAGATTAATTTACAGATCACATTGAAAGACATATTGGCTTTGTTTAGGATGCATTTAAATGCAACTATTTCTGGGCACAGGTAGCTCATACCTGTAATGCTAGCTACTCAGGAGGCTGAGAGGTAAGATTAAAGCCAGACTAAGAGGAAAGTCCGTGAGACTTTTGTCTCCAATTAACCATTCAAAGTCTAGAAGTGGAGTGTGGCGCAAATAGTAGAGTGCCTTGAGCACAAAAGCTCAGAGATAGTGCCTAGGATCTGAGTTGAAGCCCAGGACCAGAACAAATAAATACAACTCCAATAATTACTTGTCCACTGTGAATGCTCTGAAATGTTTTGGATCAACTAGCAAACATATTTCTTAAGTGGCATACAATAGTGTGAACAAATGAATGAGTCTTTTTGTTAATTTTACAATCTGAATTTATTTCAAAAGAAAATGACTTTACTGCATTTCCCCATTTCTAATAAACCAATGTTAACAGAAAAAAAAGAGGCATATAAAAAATAAAGTGAAGTCTCTATTTGCTTTCCTCCTTCCCCAGCCATTTGGTTTTTTCTGTTCTAAGGCAGGCAGGTTGGACAGAGGGCGGGTGGGAAGCATTGCTTTTGTAGCCTGAGAGGAAAAGAAAAGATTCCTCAAGGATGCAAAAAGACTACAGCCCAGGCTTGAGTGTGGGTGTTGGGCCGGGGGGGGGGGGGGGATACGGACCTTCCCTGGTAACCAGACACCGGTAAACTCCAACCACAAGATGGTGATGCCACTTGTGGGCTCTCAGATTGGAGAGGATCGAGATGAGTGACAGGGCGGGGCGTGTTGGGGCATGGCGCACAGACGGGAGGAGGGGGATGTTGGCTTGTGGAAGGGGGTCTTGTTGACTGCTTGCCTACCGGTGGGGGGTTGTGAGGAGGAGGGCGAACGATGACGCGCGGCCCTCACGTGACCCGGAGCTGCAGAGCGACGCAGCCTTGGGTGCAGTCGTCACTCGCGTCTGGCTAGCAGCTCCCCGCCGCCCAGCGCACGGCGGGCTGGCATCGGGCCCGGGGAAAGCGGAGCAGGTAAGGCCCCGGGGCCCGCGCGCCAAGGCCCGGCTCGCTGCAGCTTTGCCGATCGGGAGGCTGTACTAGGAGGGATTGTGGGGGTGTGTATGCTGGATTGGGCTCAAGGAGCCTTCGTCTCTGATTCTCCCAAGCCCCCTACCCAGCTAAATCTGTTCAGGGGAACCATGGGCTTTGACAAGGCAGCTGCTGGAGTGTCTCTCAGACAGAAATAGTAGATTGAGGTGTTCATCCTCTCGAAGCGTATTAACTGACCGCACATGTCCTCTGGCTTCCTGCTCATTTCAGAGAAGGGACGTGCCACGGTGGCGTTTGCAAAGAAAATGGTGGGCCTTAGTGACTGGACAGCGGGGTTGGTAGGGGTGGTGTCTCTGAAGGCGGGGGAGGGACGTTTGACAAGCAGATTTCTGAATCTGGAAATATGAGAATTAGGATCTGTGGCCTGGGAGCTGCCCTAAGCACTCAGTGCCTTTACTCTCTCTTGTCTTTTGGACAATAGTTTGATGTGGCACTGTTTGTGGTGAGGCGAGGGAAGAAGAGAAAACCGCACGGAATCTATGGAGGTTAGTGTGTGAACCGCTGAAATTCTGCATGAATTTTATGACACTCTTAGGTGCTGCTGAATGATTGGGATGCAGGGTGGGGCTACCTGGGGAACTTCCTCTACTGCTTTTTCTTACCAAGCTTTGTAATTTAAATCATGCACTAAAGCCCAATTTAAAAATAAACTTATATCAATTTATTCATTCCTATTTGAGGTACCACTGACAAAATACAAATTGTATCAAAGAAAATTACTATTATTTTTCAGCCTTGTGGGGGGCAGAGGGGGAGATAATGAATTAGAAGAAGTAAAAGCCCTCCACACATGAGATCTTTTTTTCTGGAGATGCCTACAGATGTGTTTCAGGGGAAGCAGATGGCAGTAAGCTATCATTCTGGAGTCTTGGAATCTGAGGGCTTCCATCTTTTCATCACCCTCCAGTTTCCTAGATACCCATGGCTACCTGGCCATCTTGGTGAAGGAAATGGTGGACTTTGAGAGCTGGGGAATCCTAGAGCCCTACAGGTGGTTTTGAAATAATTCACCTCATTTTCACCCTTTTTATTTTTTCCTATCTCTCTTTTCTCCTCTACCCATTTCAGTGCTGGGGAAATTCTAAACTCTGCCTGCTAAAAAAATGGGTCTATAAACCCAGAAAGGTTTATATCTGAATGATGTTTAGATACTAGGATGTCACACTCAACATTCACCCTTCCTCCTTTTCTCTGTCTATTTCTAGGTCTTCACATAAGCTTGCAGTAGGGCTGTTTGCCACTGGAAATAAGGGAAAGAGGGCAAGACCAGCCTGGAACTATAGAGGTTGGTGTTAAAATGGGCTATGCCTGGAGTGACAAGAGAGGGTAGGCTAAACAGGTGGCTGAGACTTGATTTCAGGGCAGGAAATGGTAGGGATATTTTGGTGAGAGTATACTAGGGTATGACTGATGAAGTATTGCAAGGTGAGATATATTAATAAATTGGAAATGGACCCTGACAAGGCAGATATTGGGGTCAGGAATTTCGGTGCTTATTTTATTAAGGACTTAATCTCCTTTGCCTCCTGGCTTTTTACTTTTCCACAGACTTGCCTGAATGCCTCCTTGAGAGCTTGATATCACTGAAAACAAAGAAATAAGGAGGAAATTGCCTCTGATCATTAAAGACTGGTGAGTGGAGACTGCCCGGGTATGCTTGTAAGAGTAGGTTAGTGGAGTCCATTATGCATTTGGTAAAGGCCAGTGGCCAGTCTGGACGACCCTCAGCCTTTCTCTTTCCCAGCTACCTTTCTCAATATCCCTGACACCCCAAAATCCTCACTTTAATTCTGGTAAAGGAAAAAGGGTGGCAACACCTGGGGGATTGGGTGGACTGGAGTAAACAGGTAGTTTGCTCATAATAGTTCCATTAAGAATAAACTCTCCACTCCTATCTCTTGCTTCCTTTGTCTACCTGTCCCTAGGTCCAAAGATCTTATGAATCTATATATCTACTTTAAGGTGTATCACCACACAAGAGAAGGAAAGAAGAAAGAACTTTCTTGGATTGTTACAGGTTGGTATGATAGTGGGAACCTGTGGGAATGGTGACCAGAGTAGGTCTGGCAAAATGTAGGTCTGAGGGCTTCTCTGCCTCTTCTATTCATCATTAGCCTTCCTACCATCTTTCCTGCTGTTCATTTGGAGTATGGAAGTACCCTGATGGAAAAGTGCTGGGCATTGGGGAAAGTGGAAAAGGTGAATGAAGGGATGGGAAGTTTGCGAATCATCTTCTTCTCCCAACCACATAACTTTCACCCTTTCTTGTTCCTCTGTGTATCTATCTGTATGGTGTGGTAGAATTAGATGAGAAATTTTAGTTCATTTCCTTCCTCCACTTCTAGGTCTACCTCCAGTGGCAGCTGTAGTGGCCTTTGAGTGGCTGAAGACCAGCACCCTCACAGGCCTACACCCAGATCTATCACCCTCTTTCCCCAGCCCAAGTGAGCCCCCTTGTACTTTGTTCGTGCCTTCTGCAGGGGTAATTACATGGGCCGTGTACAGGAAGTGGGCTGGGCAACTGCAGGACTGGTGATTTGGGCTGGCACCTGCTACTACATTTACAGATTAACAAAGGGAAGAGATCAGAGTGTGAGGAGACCTGCCAGAAATGGGTCCCAAGTCAAGATGGAGACTGTGGTTGGGGTACAGAGCCAGACCTTGGCCAAGGATGAAGCCATGGCTGGGTCAGAGATTGAGATTAGACCCAAGGCCGAAACTGGAGCAGGAAGTGGGCCCAGAGCTGAAGTAGAGACTAAGGTCACTGTTATAGCCAGACCTAAAGCCAGCTCTCAGGCCAAGTCAATGACTGAGGCAGAGAGAGAGATTCAATCTGAGGCCAACTCAGTCTCTGGAACATTGGTGGAGACTGAGGCAGTGTCTTTGACTGAGGTCAAAGCCCAGGAAGTGGCCATGAAAGAGGCAGTGACGCAAACTGATACAGAGGCTAAGGGAGTAGGCAAGAAAGAGGCAGTGACCCAGACCAAGGCAAAAGCTTGGGCACTGGTTGCTAAAGCAGAGGCCAAGAAAGAAGCAATGACCCAGACGAAAGCTGAAGCTCATACATTGGCTGAAAAAGAGACAGAGATTAATCGAGTGATGGTAACACAGAGTGAGGTCTTGACAGTGACCAGGGAAGTGGTCAAAATCGAGACCATGAACAAGACTGCAATTGTGGCTGAAACCAAGTCAAGATCCCTGGAAGAGACTGTGAGTGTGGTTAAGACTCAGCCTAATGCTAGGCCTGGTGTCACATTTGATGCTAAGGAAAATCCTAATAACATGACCAGGGCAGTGGCTGGATTGGATGTGAAGTACAGTGTACAGTCTCAGGCTGTACCTAAGATCCAAAATGATGGCATGCCTGTTGCTGAGGTTGATACGGGGAGTAATGTTCATGCCATGTATAAGGCAGAGGCAGGAGCAAGCACGAGAACCTGTATAATACAACCTCAGACTGTGGCAAAGAAACAGACTTTGGAAACATCTGGTACCAGGCCTAATGACAAAGGAAATACCAATGGCATAGCTAAGGCAATGACTGGACCTGACATAAGAGCTGCTGCCCAGTCTCAAGGTGTAATTGGTGCTCAGGTTGCAGCAATGCCTAATGCCTGGGTTAAAGGTAGAGGCAATTCTAATGTCATGGCTACAGCAGAGGCCAGGACAAATCTGAGAATCAATTCACATGCTGAGGCCTTGCCTGATACCAGGGATAACACCAGAAGCAATTGCAATGTCATGGCTAAGGCAGGGGCTGGGATAGACATATTGTCTTGTACTTGGCCTCAGCCTGTCACCAATGTTCTGGATGATGCCTTGCTTGACAACACAATCAAGGCTAAGGACAATGTCAGTGCCATGTCTAAAGAAGGCACTCAGGCTTTGGGCCAGAGCCCTAGTGAAGCCTTACCTAACACTAAAGCTAAGGCTAAGGGCAAAGCCAAAGCCAAGTGTAAGACAGTGGCTGGAACAGACATAAAACCCTGTGTCCAGCCTCAGCCTGGGGCCAAGACCCAAGCCGAGGCCTTGTCTGATTCCAGGGTTGATGGTAGAGTTGATTCTAATGCTATTTCTAGAATCAGGGCTAAGGCAGACCAGAGGGCCTGTGGTCATCCCCAAGCTATGGGCAGCTCTCAGAATGAGGCCTTGTCTGGTACCAGGAATAAGGTTAAAAGCAATCTTAATGCTTTGCCTAAGACAGAGGCAGAGGCAGCTACAACAAGCTCTGCCTATCACCAGATTGTGGTCACTTCTAAGAGTGACATCTTGACTGGAGCCAAGAGTAAAGTTAGGGGCAATCGCAATGCTGTGCCCAAGTCAGGGGCTGGGCCAGAATCAGGGGGCTCTGTCCAGCCCCAGATTCTACCCAATTCCCAGGGTGAGGCCTTGTCTGGTGCCAAAAATAAGGTTAAAGGTAATGCTATGGTTAAGTTAGAGCCTGGGGTGGGTACAACAGGCTCTACCTATTCCCAGGCTATGGCCATTTCCCAGGGCACAGCTTTGGCTGGTGCAAAGTCTAAGGTCAAGGGCAATTCCAATGCTTTGTCTAAGTCAGAGTCTGGGGCAGGAATGGTCACTGCTCATCCTAAAGCTGTGACCAAGTCCCAGTGTGAGACATTATCTGGTGCCAAGAGTAAGATCAGAGGAAATTCCAATGCTATGTCTAAAGTAGAGCCTGGAACAGAGACAATGGACTCTAACAAACCTCAGGCTATGACCACTTCCCATGGTGAGAACTTGCTTGGTGCCAGAAATAAGGTCAGGGGCAATACCAATGCCATGCCTAAGTCAGAGGCTGGGGCAGGTATGGTGGGCTCTACTCAGCCTCAGGCTGGGGCCAGTACCCAGGCTGGGATCTTGCTTGGTGCCAGAAATAAAGTCAGGGCTAATCCCAATGCTGTGCCTAAAGCAGGATCCAGGTCAGGCACAAGAGGCTCTGCTCAGTCTCAAGCTGTGGCCAGTTCCCAGGATGAGGCCTTACTTGGGGCAAGGGACAAAGCTCCGTCCAATTCTGTAGCAGCTGCCACAGCAGAAAATGTGGCTTATGCAAGGCCTGAGGCTGAGGTCGTGCCCACTTCTGAAACTGAGAGTGGGACAGGTGCACAGATGTGTGGGAGGACTCAACCTAACATTCATGACTACTACTGGAATGGGATTGGTGTTGAAGATTGGATTGCTGCTGAACGGTGGATTAAATTTAGGTTTCAGACCATTGATGGAGACTGGGAGAACAGTGTATCTTGGGCTGATGAAGAGAATGAAGCCAGTATTGGGTCCTGGAGTGGGACTGGTGATAAAACTGGTGTTGTTAGTTCCTGGGCTGTGGCTTGTGATGAGACCAGTATTAAGTCTTGGACTGGAGCCAGAACTGAAAATGAGGTTCCTCTTGGGTCCTGGGTGGGAGCTGGAGACCAGGCTAGTGGAGGGCTCTGGGCTGGTGCTCAAGCTACTGAGGGGGCATGGGCTGGGGACAGAACCAGTGGAGTTTCCTGGCCTGGGGCTGTGAATCAGGCCAGTGGGGGGACTTGGGTTGTTTCTGGGAATCAGGCGATTACAGGGCCCTGGGCTGTGAGTCAAGTTAGTGATGGGTCTTGGCCTGGAGTTCAAGCCACTGGAGTGTCTTGGGTTCTGGACCAGGCTACTGGGACTTGGACTGTGGCAGAGAACCAGGCTGCTGCAGTGTCCTGGACTGGAGCTGGAAATATAGTTAGTATTGGGTACTGGACTGGAGCTGTGGACCAGACTACTGGAGCAGCCTGGGTGGGGGTTAGTGATCAGTCTTGTGGTGAGACCAAACCCAGATATGAGGATCAGACTGGCCAAAAAGTATCCTGGGATGGCACTAGTGGCCAGGCCAGTGGCGGGTCTAGGTTGGGACCTGAGGACCAGTCAAGTGGAAGGTCTTGGACTGGAACTGTAGACCAAGCCAGTGGAGGGTCCTTACTTGGAAGTGTAAACCAGTCTAGTAGTGGATCCTGGGCTGGCACTGGGGACCAGGCTAGTGGAGGACCTATGTCAGGGTCTGCAGACCAGGCCAGTGGTGGGTCCTGGGCTGGAACTAGAAACCTAGCTGGAGGAGGATCATGGACTGGGACTAGTGATCAGTCTGATGGTGGATCAAAGTCTAGTTTTGAGAATCTGGACAGCAATGGAGGGACTTGGACTGGAGCTATTGGCCAAGCTGATGGAGTACCCAAGTCTGGAACTGAGAATCAGTCTAATGGAAGACCCTGGGCAGATTCTGGTGGTCAAATCAGTGGAGGGTTCTTGTCTATGGGCCAGGTC